GCTGCTCTCCACCAAGGCTGTGTACTTCGTGCTGCATGATGGCCTGCGCCGCTACTTCTCTGAGCCCCTGCAGGGTAGGCGCCAGGGCCTGGCATCCGGGAGTTCAGAGCACGTGCCCGAGGAGACAGGCCGCGGGGCCGGAGGCAGCAGGGATTTGGCCGTGCTGGGCTGAGCCTCCCTTGTCTCAGGAAGGGGCTTGACAACCATACTCTCTCCTGGAGCTATCATGAGAAGAGACCTAAGGCCAGCACACAAGGCAGGACCTAGCCAGGGCCCGGGAACTGGTGGGGGGGGGGCGAGGAGGGGCTGGGGCAGCCTCTGTCCTATGGGACCCCAGTTGGAGCCTTTGCTAGTGGCCCGTTGTAGGGCTCCTGATGCCTCCACTGAGCCAGGAAAGGCTCAGAGCCTGGAATGCGTGGCCCGTGAGGCCTTCCGTCCGGAGAGGCAGGGGCGGCTCCTTGCCGGCTGGCCAGAGCTGTGCACCCGGGAACCCCGTGCTTGCCTGGCAGAGCCAGCACCACACTTGGTGCCTGTCTCTCCGTCGCAGATTTCTGGCATCAGAAGAACACAGACTACAACAACAGTCCCTTCCACATTTCCCAGTGCTTTGTTTTAAAGCTCAGCGACTTGCAGGCAGTCAACGTTGGGCTTTTTGACCAGTATTTCCGGCTGACGGGTGAGTGACCGCCGCGCTTTGTCCTATTTTGGGTGAAGGCCAGTGTCACCAGTGGGCTTCCACCTTCCATATGTGGGTGCGTTATCGCAGCCTGAGTTATCTCTGCTCACAAGCCTGTTCACCGGAGTGGGAGGAAGCAGCTTCAGGAACTGCTGAGCATGCAGAACCCCCCAGGGCTCAAGTGCGAGGCGGGGACCGAGGCGGCCGAGTGCCCGGCGGGCAGGGAGAGTGGGCCCAGGGCTCACGGGCAGGATGTTTCTGACTCACACTTCCTGAAGAGAGAAAGCTAAGCTTTTTCCCTAATGCCTCTGCATCCCTTTCCAGAAAAATGTCACAGCCCTTCCAGCCCGAGAAATAGCTATCTCCCCAGGCCCCATGATGCTTTCCCACGTGGGTCCTCCTCTGGTCTCTAGGGGGGCAGGGATGGGGTGGGGGAGAGGCGGCCCCGCAGCCGTGACCAGCCCCTTCTCCCGCAGGCTCCTCCCCGATGCAGGTGGTTACCTGCTTGACACGGGACAGCTACCTGACACACTGCTTCCTGCAGCACCTCATGGGCGTGCTGTCCTCACTAGAGCGCACACCCTCCCCTGAGCCTGTCGACAAGGACTTCTACTCCGAGTTTGGGAACAAGACTGCAGGTACCGCCCCATGCCCAGTTCGGGCTGCAGCAGGCCCCAGGGCGCCTCTCTCTGCCCAGGACCCCCTCTGCCTCGCTCACTTTCTCTCTTTCCCGCTTAGCCAGTGAGGCTTTTCCGTGGGCTTTTCCACGGCAGAGCCTCCATCCCAGCAAACCCTCAAGCCACCCGGCAGTTGGCGTCTCGAGTGCCTGCCGTGCGCTGAGCTGCTGGCCTGTGGGTCTCTGCCCGAGCGCGGGGGCCTGGAGCCACTCCCCTGCTCCTGCCAGCCCCTGGTTCTGCCATCGTGGGTGACTTGGGCTCGCGGGTGCTCTGGGCCCCAGCGCCAGCCAAGCCAGGCTACAAACCCCCCGGGGGGGGGGGGGGCACCCGTCTCTGCAGGGAAGCTGGAAAACTACGAGCTGATCCACTCAAGCCGCGTCAAGTTCACCTACCCCAGTGAGGAGGAGATCGGGGACCTGACATTCACTGTGGCCCAGAAGATGGCCGACCCAGAGAAGGCGCCATCCCTCAGCATCCTGCTATATGTGCAGGCCTTCCAGGTGGGCACACCGCCTCCCGGCCGCTGCAGGGGCATGCTGCGCCCCAAGACGCTCCTCCTCACCAGTGCAGAGATCTTCCTCCTGGACGAGGACTTCGTCCACTACCCGCTGCCCGAGTTCGCCAAAGAGCCCCCGCAGCGAGACCGGTACCGGCTGGATGACGGCCGCCGCGTCCGGGACCTGGACCGCGTGCTCATGGGCTACCAGACCTACCCGCAGGCCCTGACCCTCGTGTTTGACGACGTGCAGGGCCACGACCTCATGGGCAGCGTCACCCTGGACCACTTCGGGGAGGTGCCGGGTGGTCCCACTGGAGCCGGCCAGGGCCGTGAGGTCCAGTGGCAGGTGTTCGTGCCCAGCGCCGAGAGCCGCGAGAAGCTCATCTCGCTGTTGGCCCGCCAGTGGGAGGCCCTGTGCGGCCGGGAGCTGCCCGTCGAGCTCACCGGCTAGCCTGGACCACGTGTCCGGCCTGGCGTCCACTCAGGGCGGGAAGCAGGCTTTCTTTGTTCTTTTTAAAGTGTTTCTCCCCTCTTTTGGGTCCCCTCGTTGGCCCGTCCTTGCAGAGAATGTGCATTCAGTGGCTTCAGTGACTTCTTTCTAGGGCTGGGAGTGAAAGCGCCGGCCCCCTCCGGGGCCTCCCTGTGCCATCCGCCTCCCGTGGCTCTTGTTGCCTCCCCCTGGGGCAGTGTGGCCGGCGCTCCAGTGTCGTGTTTTCTGTCGTGAGGCTGTTATTAACACGTGGCGCCATGGGTCAGCTTTACTCTTCTGTGTCCTTCCCCGAAATGTCTCGTCCAGTCATGTTGTTGTTGTGGGAGTTCGCTGCTAATTGTGAAGCTGGTAGCAAAGTGCACATCAGAAGCTCCCGCCCCGTGCAGTTTTCCAAAGTGGAGGCCTCTCCTGGCCCAGTCAAGTGGGAGAGCCCCATGGGGACAGGAGTCTCCTGGGCTTGGGGCTGAAAGGGGTGGTGGCAGGGGACCTAGAGCTGCCAGCACCGAGTGTGATTCCTGTCGCCTGTTTTCTCTATTTCAATAAAGCGGAGTTTGACACAGTCTGGGTCTTTTATTTCAAGGGCCACTGGGGTCTCGGCAGGGCACCAGCCCAGGGCAAGGTTGGCATGAGGGAGAGGGTCCCCTGGGGAAGCAGGAAGGTGAGCTCCTGGGGCGGGGGAGGGAGGGTGGGGGCAAGGAAGGAGGGAGAAGGGCACGGAGGGCAAGGGAGCGGCTCTGCTCAGGTGGTACTGGCGGGCCGGCCCCAGAGTGCTGGCACAGGGGAGGTGGGAGGGGGCCCTTGGATAGGGCAGGGCTGGGCTTGCACCCTGAGCCTCAGGGCACGCGTGGCACCCTGGCTCACTGGCTTTCTGCCTCCTGCAGGTCTGGAATGTCCCAGCCGGAGCTGCAGTCCCTTGTGAGGTAAACCCTAGAGTCTGGGATTGCATAGGGTGGGGGCTGGAGGGGGTCTCACCAAGAGGGCCCGTGGGGGGAAGGCCTGTGGGAGGTGTCCCCAGGTGGTGGGTAGTGTGCTCGTGTCCTCGGACAAGTGGGGGTTGCCTCAGGGAGCCCTACCAAACTAGGACCTGGGATTTCTTTGGGAGCCAGCCGTGTGCCCCACCATTCCTCATCCCATTCCTGCCCCCAGAGCGGGGCCCTGGAGCCCCACTTGTCTCTCCCATCCTGGCCCAATCGGGCATGAGGCCCCAAGGCCCTGGGGCCATTCGGGCCAGGCAGGACTGGAGAAGAGGTGATTGGAGGAGGGTGGCCAACCCGGCTCCCAGCCTGCTGCTCCTGTCTTCCCTCGGTGGCCCACACTGGGGCCTAGAGCCTCAGGAAGGCTGCTGGGGGGGAGGGGGAGCCACCAAGGGGAGGGTCTCCCCACTCACAACATCCCTGGCCAGCCCAAGGGCTCCTCTAGCCGATGGGAAGCGGGGAGGCCTGCTGAGGAAGAGGGGGCAGGTGACAAAACTTCTCCCTACCAGGCTTTCATCAAAGACCTTTACAAATGGCCACCTGCCTCTCTCCATCTGTTATGTGTAAACGGGGATGGTGACAACCAGAGGCAGGGTCCACTTCCTGGACTACTGTTCCAGGCCCCACAGACCCACATGACACTGACCCCTGCCTGGGTCCATGAGGACACGACCTCCTGGTGAGAGGTTGGGACATTGTGTCTCCCTTAACGTGTTGAGGATGGGACCTTAACACTGATTAGCCGAGAGACCTTAGGCAAGTTCCTTAGTGCCTCCGAGCCTGGTCTGCGCACGGGTAACAGGTGATCAAGGTACCCGCCTGCCCCCTTCATGCCCTCCGCAAGTCTGTGCGGAGCACCCACTGTGTGAGGCAGCCAGACACCATCCCGCTCTCCCGTAGCTGAGTTCCAGCAGGGGACGGAGAATACACGAAATAAAGTGTCAGCTGGTAGCAAGGGCTATGAGGTAATGGCAGCTGGTGACCCTTGAGCTGAGGCTGACCTTGGGGAGAGTCCCTATGAGAGGAGCTGGGGGCAAAGCAGGAGGTTAGGGGAGGGGAGAGGCCCACAGCCGGAGCAGGCCAGGTGGGGCTACTCTGACACGGGGGGCTGGAGTGCAGTGGGAAGCCAAGAAGCCCCCTGGGGGGAGAAGGGGAGAGAAGGGGGTACAGGGACCAGGGGGAGGGGTAGTTGGGGCAGGTGAGCCACGGAATGGTCTGACGTGCTGTCTGCTTAGCACAGACCTGTCGAGGCCCACAGCTGCTCTCGGCAGTTAGAAAGGTGGAAGCAGGCTGACCTGATTCATGGCTGCTCTACCCCCACCTGCCGGAGCCCCCCACCCCCACCCCCACCCTCAGAGCCTCTGAATGATCTAAGCCGGGCTCGCAGACAAGGGCTGGGCAGTGGTTTGTATCGGAGCTGGCTCCACACCCTCTGCTGGGCCTCAGGCTTGTGGTTGATGGTGGGCTTGGGGGCTGTGATGCCAGGAGGAGGGTCTCTGGTCAGGAAGCCCTGACAGGGCCCAGGCTGACCATGCAGGAGTCAGTGGCCAGCACCTTCCCTTCCGCCTGCAGGCTGCTGATAGCAGGAGGAAATCCTGGCGGGTTCCTGTGGGGGTGAGCTGGCGGGGCCTCCGGACTGCTTTTAAAGCGACTGCCCGCCCTGGCCCGCCCGCCCACTCGCCCTGTGCCTGCCTCCTAGAGCTCGTTCCCCACACTGGTTGCCCTGACTGTCCTGGACGGCGTGCCCGCCAGCCGTCACCAGCCATGGCAGGGCCCCGGGGCCGCCTCCTGCTCTGCCTCCTGGCCTTCTGCCTAGCAGGCTCCAGCTTCACCAGGGGGCAGAAGGTGAGTGTGAGCCAGTTGCAGGGGACGCGGTGTTCGGGTCCTGCTGGCCAGTGGTGGGAGCAGGGAGGGGGTATACACAGATAGGGCCCAGGTCTGGGGACACACGGGGCCGCTGCGACTCGTCTGCCCTCCGAGCAGGCCCAGAGGGCAAGGCAGCCGTGTGTTGCCTTGCCCTCCTCTGACCGCACGCAGCGTGCCAGGCCCGACGTGGTGTGGGCAGCTGTCCCGGGGCTCCCCAGCCTGAGGCTGAGGGGGACAGAGCCGGGCCCATGCTCCTGCCCAGACTGAGGCTTGGGCTGTCTATGAGGTTGGAGCCAGGAGCGCCCCCGAACCCTGGAGGGGCTAGCAAACCAACAGACTCGCATGGAACACACATGTGTGTGCCTGTGTCCGGCCCCAGTGGCGGGGGGGGGGGGGGGGGGGGGGGGGAAGGAGGTCTCACCTCCAGTCTCTCTGGGTAAACAGGAGCCAACAATAACACCTTCAACCCCGAGAGCTTACCAAGTGCACAGCCTGGGCACAGCTGGGCATTACCCCCTGCGCGCCGCCCTGGGCGGTGGGTCCTGTTCTCTACCTGAGGAAGCCAGAGCCCGAGGATGTTGGAGACAGATCAGTCCGACTCTGGAGCCTTGCTCCTGACTGACCACTGCCTGTGATTCCCCAAAAATGGGCCCAGGGTGTGGTTGTCAGGGCTGCGCGTGCCAGCCACCGCCTGGCTGCCCATCTGCGGGTCTACCCAGGCCCCGGAGCAGGGACGCTGTCCCCACGGGAGCTTCTGGAAGAGCCTCCCACCCTGAGGATGGAGACAGAGTTGCCTGGCTGGGGCCTGCCTGCAGATAAGGGTCCCTCCCCTGTGAGGCCAAGTCCATCTGATTCTTGGGGCAGCTACAACTGTCCCCTATCGCCAGCAGGCAGGCTGAGGTAGAGAAGAGGGACGTGCCCGGGACCCCACTGCCAGGCCGGGCCAGCTCCGGGTTGCGGATGGGAGGCCAGAAGTTGCAAGGGTGACCATGGTGGGAGAAGGGCCCAGGGTTCTAGGCTGTGCTCAGCCGGGCAAGTGGGCTCCTGCTCCCTCCCTGCCCCAGTTTCCCCACATGGGGAATACGAGGGGATTTCAAAGGCCTGCCGCCTCCCACTGGGAATTTTTCCTCGTCAGAGACCTGTGCTCTGCCTGCCTCTCAGCTGTATTCTCGGGGTGAGGCTCTGCCAGCCTGGGCCCGACAGACAGTCCCAGGGGTGCCTGTGGCCAGGGGCGCGGCAGCGCAGGCCTTCTCACCTGTCCTCAGTCACCCAGCCCTCCTGGCGCCTCTGTAGCATGAGGCCCACTCTAAATATTAGCAAACTGAAGCTCCAAGGGGTAGGGGTGACCTCCGGGTCACACAGCCAGTGAGGGGCAGAAGCGGAACGTAAATAGAAACAGGTTCAGGGAGTAGGAGCAAGGAAGGCTTCCTGGAGGAGGGGGTCCTAGCCCCTGTCCATTCAAAAGTCTTTTTACTCAGTGCCTCCTCTGTGCTGGTGCTGGTGGAGCCTGTGGTCTCAAGCTGGGGCGTGGAGGGAGAAGGGCGCTGATCCAGGGCAGGGGAAGCAGTTGGAGGGGGTGCTGTCCCTGAGGGAGTTTGGGTTCTGAGACCCAGACCCCAGCTTGGGGGGAATTTCTCCCACCTTCTTACAACAGGCTTAATACCTCATGTCTCCTCAACTTCCCCAGCAGCGTGACTGTCTCTGTGGGAAGCAGACGTTGCAAAATCAGCTCTGGATTGGGGCGGGTGGGGGCAGCACCCGCCTGGCTCAGGCAGTCCCGAGGTGCCCCGGGAAGAAGGGGATCTGATTCAGCACTGGGCTGTGATCCAGAGGGACCAGCGGTGAGACAGTGCTCTGGGGAGGCTGGTGCTCCTTCCAGGCAGAGGGGCCTGGTGTTCTTCCCCACGAGAAGTAGGGTTTGGCTGGCTTATCCACCCTTCACCATTTCCCACACATCTTCCAATGCGACAGTCTAGGGGTGAGTGTGCCCCGGCGGGACAGGAGGCTCCTGATTCCTCCTCTGCTCACCCCCGCACTCCAAACCCCACCACTCTCTCTCCCTCCCTCCCTCTCTCTCTCCTGAGCCCTTAGCCAGGCCTGACTGCTCCTCTGAAAGCCGGTCTCCGGGCTGGTGGTGGCCACCCTGGCAGCTGGGTGTGCCTGGCCAGGTGGCCCTCAAGGGTGCCTTTGCCCTGAGCCAGCAGCTGCCCAGCCCTAGAGTTACCCAACTTCCTAGACATTCCCTGGCTCAGCAGAGACGGAGCCCCGAGGTGGGGAACGAGACCACAGCACTCAGCCCCACGGCTCGGCCTGAGGCCACTCTCGGCAACTTCCTTCTTTGCCGACCGCAGAGGCATGAGCGGAAAGGGCCAAATCACCGCGGCAGAGAGAGGCCCCGGGGCCTGGTGTTCCCCGGAAGAACATGCCAGGCCGCCGTTTCTCCTTTTCTCTTGCTTTGAGCATCCTCGCATCTGTAATGTGTCGTAGGAAAGATGCCCTGGCTCACTCCCTTCGAACCACAGAGTGTTTGGCCTATTTTAGATGAGAACATCTCGAGGCCCTGCCCCAGGTCCCCAGAACCTCTTCTCCATCCACACGCACCCTCCTATGGTCCCTTTTCTCACGTACAACCAAGACTGAAGCTTCCCTCCTCCAGGGCACAGGGCTGCCATCCACGAAGGTAGCCCCAGGGATGGAGGACTTGCAGGCGTCGTGGCGGGCCAGGGGATGGGGCTGCAGGCCTGGGCTTTCTTGGCACTCAGCACCCTCAGGGGACGGCCCCTTCCCTACCACCATCCCTGCTGCCCTGCAGCAGCCAGAGACTCATTTTATTTATTTATTTATTTATTTATTTATTTATTTATTTATTTATTTATTTAAAAAGATTTTATTTATTTATTTGACAGAGACACAGCGAGAGAGGGAACACAAGCAGGGGGAGTGGGAGAGGGAGAAGCAGGCTTCCCGCGGAGCAGAGAGCCTGATGCAGGGCTCGATCCCAGGACCCTGGGATCATGACCCGAGCCGAAGGCAGATGCTCAACGACTGAGCCACCCAGGGTCCCCCAGGACCCATTTAAAACAAACCAGTCCCAGGGCTGCCCTGATGCTGCCTCCCCTCTCTGGCCCGGCCACTGGCCCCTCTCCTCGGCGGCTCTCTGCTTTGTCACACATGGTCGTCTGCTCCTTCCACTTCCTGGCTTTTGCCTCTCCTGTCCCCCTCTACCAGGGGCACTACTCTGGCCAACTCTTGGGCATCTTTCAGCTCCAATTCAATTGTCACCTCCCCTGGGAAGCCGCCTGGGTCTTCTTAGCCTCCTCGTCGCCAGCATTGCCACACCAATGATGGGCCGTGGCCCCCTGGGTCTGGGCTGGTGTGTGGGGCTGGGGGTCAGGCCTGGGGTCGGGGCATGCAGACCCTCTCGCGCATACCTGCTCTCATGGGCCTGCCTCTTGGGTCTGGGGCTGGCTGCTGGGTCTCCCCCGCCTCCCGGGGCAGCTGAGGGCCCTCAAGGTTGCTGACGGGGTCATTCGGCAGCACGGTGGGGACACGCCCAGGGCGAAGCGATGACCAGAGGGCCAGCCCCGAGGTGAGCTCTGTCTGTGCCTGGGAATGGAGTTGCTGTGCTCTCCCAAGTAGCGTCCGCTGTAGTATTGAGTGTTTGTTTTTCAGTGAGAAGTGATAAGGGACACTAGGGCAAGAGTCCAGTTCTGGTCCCTGACATACTCAGGCCCTGGGTGGTTTGGGGTCTGGGGTCCAGTTTCTCCAACTGAATGGGCTAAGGTGGAACAAAATGGCTGGGTTCTCTTCACGTTGGGAGGCATAGGCTCTGAGGCTCCTGGGTGTGTGTTTGTGGCCCTGGGCAGAAGTCCATGGCTGTGGACATAGGAACACGCTGTGGCAGTGACAATCTGTGACAGGCAGGTTTCCCTGTGTCCCGGGGCCTTCCCTGGGCTCACTGCTGAACAGGCAGGGAAGCGAGGCCTGCAGAGAGGTGCTGGGCCTTGGCTCAGTCAGAGCAGAGTCAGGACTGGGCACAGGGGCCAGGCCCCTCCCTCCAAACACCCCCCACCCCCCGTGGCCCAGGTGCGGTCCAGACGCTGTGATGTGAAGACCAAGTTTGTCACTCGCATCCCCTGCACCATGTGTCCTGCTATCAAGAGGCGGATGTGTCCCCCAGGCTGGCTTCGGGAATTACCAGAGAAGATATCCCAGGACTGCCGGTACGGGTCCCTGCCTCCGTCCGTCCTTGCCTGCTTCCAGGAGCATCTGTGGGGTGGGGGTGGGGGCAGGGGGTGAGGGAGAGCCTGGCAGGCGTGGGCAGTGAGAGCAGTCACTTGCCCACATGTCCTTTGGCCCCTCTGGTGGGGCAGAGATAGGGAGGAAAGAAGAAGGGGGAGTCGGGGCAGGAGGTGTTTCTTGAGCACCTACTATGTGCCAGGCCCTGTGCTCAGCCCCGGGCCAGGCAGAGAGAGGGAAGGTAGAGCTAGAGCACTAGAAACCGGTGTGGGGAGGCGGGGCTGGGGGCTGCCGACTGGGAGGCCCTCCTGTCACCCTGCCCACCTTTGTCCCCAGCTACGAGGTGCAGCTGGGGGACTCTTTGATGTCCATGAGTGGCTGCAGTCTGGAGTGCTGGAAGGATGTGGTAGAGAAGGCCTGCTGCCCCGGCTACTGGGGGTCCCAGTGCTATGGTACGGGGTGGGGGCCCCAGCCTTGCTCCTCGTATCCCGGCCCCGGGCTCCCTCTCTGCAGCATCTGCCTGCACATCCTTCAGCTGTTGCAGTAAATGGATCCTTAGTGAGAGCCAACACATCTTGGCTGCCTGGCTCTGGCTGCCCCAGGGAGGGGCCGGGCTGCCCAGAGCTGCTGGGGTCTGGGGTGAAGTGTGAGTTCTTCAGGGCACAGCTGAGTTCTGGGGGGGGGTCCACAGAGTGCCCTGGGGGTGCTGAGACCCCGTGTAATGGCCATGGGACCTGCCTGGATGGCATCAACAGGAACGGGACCTGTGTGTGTCAGGTAAGGGCCCGGCAGGGCTGGGGGGTGGGGGGCAGTACAGAGGCCACACTGACTGGGTGCAAATCTCTGCCAGGAAAACTTCGGTGGCTCCGCCTGCCAGGAGTGCCAAGACCCCAACCGGTTTGGGCCCAACTGCCAGTCAGGTGAGTGCTGTCAGGGCGAGGGAGCAGGGCCACTGCCCACGTGGGGGCCCAAGGAGACCTGTCCGTATAGCCAGCCCCCAGCAGCCTCCCTCCCAGCCCCTCAGCCTCACAGTCCCCCTCCCGAGACATGAGCTTTGCTTCCTCTTACCTCCAGCCCCGTGCTGTTGTCAGAGGCCTTCTCTGGTAAGTGCCCTCTGAGCCCCCGGGCTAGTCCAGGTCCCTCCCTTGGGCTCCCATCACCACTATGGTCCCGCATCACAGCTCCATAGAGCTGAGTTCTAGAAATGCAGAAATGCAGACTCAGTGTCCCTGTGCATCCCTGTGTGTCCCTCCCAGTGTGCAGCTGTGTGCACGGCGTGTGTAGCCATGGGCCACTGGGGGATGGAAGCTGCCTCTGCTTTGCTGGATACACTGGACCCCGCTGTGACCAAGGTAGGCGGGGCTGCTGGGGTAGCCTGGGGTGGCAGGTCCTCAGTGGCCAGAGCAAAAGAGGCCAATGGGTGAGGGATGGGGCCTGAGCCTCAGCGGGACCTCTGCCCACAGCCTTATTTTTATCTAAGTAGGAGAGGTACACGGGGGGTCAGGGGGAGGGAATGTCATCTGAGACCTCCACTGCCCCAAAGGCCCAGAGAAGGCAAGGCTCTGGCCAAAGTTACACAGCAAATTGGGCAGAGCATCTTTGCACCTGTGTTCCTTCCAACCTGGAGCTTTGGGCCACCACAACACTCGCCCCTCTTCATTCAGAGCTGCCAGTCTGCCGGGCCCTGAACTGTCCCCAGAACTCCCAGTGCTCTGCAGAGGCCCCTGCCTGCAGCTGCCTGCCTGGCCACACCCAGCAGGGCAGAGAATGCCGAGGTAAGTCTGTGACCCAGAGGCTGGAGGCCCAAGCTCAGGGTGAGCAGGGGCTGGGAGGACATCCTTTTAAACCTGCAAGTACAGTCTGGTCATTTATGGCAAGTACAACGTGTCCCTGAGGGAGGGCCTATCCCCAAGGTCTAGATCAACCTGCTCACCTCCTCTTTGGGCCATCGCTGTGGAGGTGGTGGGGCTCCTGGGTGCCCAGCTCACTTGGGTGTTCCCTCTCTCTCTCTCTCTCTCTGTGCCCTGGCAGCCCCTAACCCCTGCCAGTCATCGCCCTGCTCCCCACTGGCCCAGTGCTCGGTGAGCCCCACAGGGCAGGCACAGTGCCGCTGCCCCAAGGACTACCATGGTGATGGGACGGTGTGTCTGCCCCAGGACCCATGCACCATCAACTACGGTGGCTGCCCCAGCAACTCCACCTTGTGTCTGTACCAGAGACCAGGCAAGGTGAGCCGGGGCCCTGGGTCAGGCCTGTGCCGTGCTGCCCCCACCCACGCTGGCGACTCGGCCCTGGGCAAATCATGGGCCTCCTGGGAGTTGGCCCATTTGTAACATGGGAGGGGGATGGCAGCCCTCAGCGGGTGGTGCGGCGGCTGAGCACAGCTTTGTGGGTGCCGGTGGTTCTCATGGATGCGATGCTGCCCTCCTTCCCCCGCCTGGTGGCCCAGGCCTCCTGCTTGTGTAAGCCAGGCTTGGTCAGCGTCAACCACAATGCCTCTGCGGGCTGCTTCGCCTACTGCTTCCCTCACTCCTGTGACCGGTCAGCCACCTGCCAGGTGACCCCCGATGGAAAGATCAGGTGGGCACTGGGGGCAGAGCGGACAGGGTGGTCTGGGCAGGGGCAAGGGTGCCTGTGTGTGCACCCTCAGGTCAAGGGCCCAGGGGGAAACAGGTGGGTGAGGGCCAGGAGGTAGGGACTGGCCGCACCCCTGCCCTGACCAGTTCTACCCATGGCCCTAGCTGTGTGTGCAAGGAGGGCGAGATAGGGGACGGGCGTGCCTGCTATGGACACCTGCTGCACGAGATACAGAAGGCTGGTCAGCTGGGTGTGGTGTTCCTGCGGCTGAGAGTCTCCCTGGCCATGCTGGGTGTGTGACCCCCCCCCACCTGCCTGTGACCTTGTCCCTCACACCCCGCATTCCTGGCAGGGAGCGAGGGGCAGACCCTGCAGAGATGCCCTGTCTCTTTGCCCACGAGCTGTGGAAGCAGAGTGGGCTGTGGTGGGGTGCGTGACCGGCAGTGGGAGCTAGCTCCCCCCACGCCCGATCCTGATGCCTCCCATCTACCTTAGACCTAGGCCCAGTGCCCTCTACCCAACTCTCCAAAACCTAGGACTGATGCCTGAGGGTTTCCCAGATCCATTCTGATCTACCCTCTCGTGACTCCCAGACCAGGGCTGCCGCGAGATCCTCACCACGGCGGGCCCATTCACGGTGCTGGTACCATCGCTTTCGTCCGTCTCCTCCAGGACCATGAATGTGAGCCCCGCCCCCTCAAGGAGCTGGCTGCCAGCCCTTGCCTCCTCCCTGGAGCCTGCCCCAGGCTTTTGGGGCCCAGACTCTGGGGAACCAAGGCCCGGGAGGCATCTTGCCCCCTCCATTGCTGGGGCAGGGGTGGCATGGCGACCAGCCGCCCGCCACCCTGGGCCCGCTCAGCGCCCTGGTCCCCTTGTGCCCACAGGCGTCCCTCGCCCGGCAGCTCTGCAAACAGCACATCATTGCAGGGCAGCACATGCTGGAGGAGCTGGGGACCCAGCAGACACGCAGGTGGTGGACACTGGCGGGGCAGGAGATCACCGTCACTTTCAACCGCTTCACGGTAAGGAGGGCCACCCCAGCCCAGGGACCAGGGAGCCCCAGGTGGGAGACGCCGCCCGGGCAGAGGCGTGGAGGTGGAACGGAGCCTCGGAACACGAGGCTGGCACGTGGTGCGGATGAGCCAGAGGCCTCACGTCTCGGCAGAAATACACCTACAAGTACAAAGAGCACCCCCAGCAGACGTTCACCATCCACAAGACCAACCACCCAGCAGCCAACGGCGTCTTCCACTTGGTCACCGCCCTGCAGTGGCAGCCCCCACCAGAGCTCCCCGAGGACCCCAAGGTAAGCCAGTGCCCCCCCCCTCCCCACCTGGTGCCACTGGGTGACCTCTGAGCCCCACAGAGCTCAGAGAGCGGGCTGGGCAGTTCTGGGCGGGGCTGGAACAGAGCTCCTTCCCCCCCTGGGGCTGGAACAGAGCTC